TTCTTATATGTCTATAAATAACCTACAGGGAAGCCTCAACGACGAGGGGGGACTTGGTGTGTTCTCTCTCAGCTGCTTATTCGCGTCATCGATTGTATCCTGTATCCTCAGTCCTATGATTATAACAATTTGTGGAGCCAAATCAGTGCTGATAGTTGCCTTCATTACGCATCTCGTGTACACGGCTGCAAACTTCTACCCCCGTTTTGCGACACTGTTTCCAAGCACACTTCTAGTTGGGGCATTAGCAGGACCGTTCTGGGCATCTCAAGGTATTTACATGACAACGTGCGCCTTCTCTTTCTCTCAACGGACTGGAGTACATGTTTATGTTACTCTTAGCAGACTGAACGGTATATATTATACCTTAGTGAATTTATCCAATATTGTTGGAAACCTTATATCATCGACAGTGTTATATCAAGGCCAATACAATGTTTCAGTGATCAACGAAACGATGTACTGTGGAACCAATGATTGCCCGCGGGATGAAACGGAGGACGTCATTGCAGATCCTGATCACGCGACGATGTACATATTATTCAGTATATTTCTTGGATTAGAAATTATTGGATTATTTTTAGTAGTGATATGTCTATCCCCGATTCCAAGACACACTGTAGTGTCAAAAGCTTCTATCAAAGAATCGCTTCTTTCCTGGTTCATAGTCCTGATAAAAACTGACATGAAATACCTCGTCCCGCTACAATGCTACTTTGCAATCGCCGAGGAAATATGTTTTACCGAATTTACAAAGTCGTTTGTCAGTTGTCCAATCGGAATTCAAAACGTTGGCTATGTAATGGCCGCTTTCGGTGGAGGCTCATCCGTTACAAGTCTCCTTTTCAGTCGATTGGCTCAATATACTAAACGTTATGTCATTTTCACAACTGCCGCCATTTTACAAATGACGTTAATCGTTTGTATGTACAACTGGATTCCAGCACCAAACGACCATCTTTACATTTACCTTGTAGCAACGTTTTGGGGTGTTTGTGAGGGTTTATGGAAAGCTCAAAATTCAGCTATGTTAGGTGAACATTTTCCCAACAAAATGCGGGTGGTCTTTTCAGTGAAAGAATGTTTTAAATCAGTAACCTTCACAATAACATTTATTTACAGTAGTCTAATATGTGTATATGTCAAACTTCTCATAGCGATGATCTTTCTTGCTGTATCTATGATGTTATACTATTTTGTGGAATATACATTTATACAAAACCAGAAAAGTAAAAAAGAAAATGCGGAGAACAATACATCGAAAGGAGTCAAACCAGATAGTGAAATGGGAACAAATAAAACCATGAAATAACACTTCGGTTGAACATTTAGTTAAGTTGGCTTTAGTTCGTGTTCAGTTGGAGACGACCTATGCTGTGACATTTTGGAGAAGGGGTGAATAAGTATAATCATTCCTAAATCGAATCATTTAGAAATGATGTGCACGAATACAAGAGATGAGACAATTCCTATGTATATCAAAAGCTGAAATGTGTGCTGGTTATATAGAGGAATTAAAGATCGATATATTTCTGTGTATTAATATATTTACCTAACAATGTACGTTATACAGCATTTGAATTGTATTAAATGTTTCATCTTTAAATGCTTTGCTGTCTTCTTTTAAAGAAATGTACATGGTGTTATCTATATATGTATGTGTGATATGATTCACTGATTCATTACGTCAGAATGACGAAATAATGTTTGTTACGTCAGTATTTATCCCTCAAAATATGTTATTGGCATGCAAAAATTAGATTATCATGATGCCAATCACTGAATTGTCTGGTGCAGATGCGATTATTTACAGACCGCCGTCATATAGCTGGAATACTGCTGAGTGCGGCGTAAAACAACAAACAAACAAACATCCTTGTCACACAAACACTGGCTGGGACGTTTCAAATTAATAAAGCGATCATATGACCAAGCCACAAGGACAATGTTTTCGATATATAAATACGTATTCTAGCAACTCCCATAAATTGTAAGCTTGCAGTATTTGATCAACCTAAAATATGATTCTGTCATATGGCTATGATATATAAGTTTGGAAAATCAATACTAAATTGGCTCGTAAGGATCCGGGGTAGAATAGGTCTTCAGCAACTCATGCTTGCCGTAAAAGGCGACTATGCTTGTGTAAGAGGCGACTAACGGTATCGGGTGGTCAGGCTCGCTGACTTGGTTGATGCATGTCATCGATCCCATTTGAGTGGATCGATGCTAATGTTGCAATCACTGGATTGTCTGGTCCAGACCCGATTATTTACAGAACGCCGTCATGTAGCTGGAATATTGCTGAGTGCGGCGTTAAACAACAAACTAAACCAAACCAAACCAATACTGAAGTACTATCGGAAATGCTAGAAAAAGTTGTTTTTCTGGCTACATTTAATAATGACGAATCATGAAAATGGTATATATCCAAATAACACGAATCTTCCAACTGACACTGTGATTAGCCTAAAACACGTACTTTGCAGGTAAAGTCTTGATACACTTGTGTCATGCATGTATGAAACAGCCTTTTGCCTGCGGTAATTCCCTGACACCTGTCCCGACATGATGACCTCACAGCGGCCCGTGCATTCGCACAGGTTCAAATGTCACCTGAGGGGTGGTCTCAAAATATTGTTGTTATTGTACTTTTTTTAGATATACGTTGTCGGGGGTGTCAATTAAGACATGTACTACATTGTACTTGTTTGGAAAAAAATATGGAATAGTTAAAAACTATGAAACGTGATGAGTACAGGGTGGTTGGAGGTTTGTAATCAAGAAGTATTTGTTGTTCTACGGATTAATTCCTTTACTCAGTTGATGACATATCTGAATCTGTACTGTCACCCAAAGGTGCAACAAGGCTGATATCAAGTCCAAACGAACGTACGAGCCGACCACCTCACCCCATGACCATATTAATCCAATGGGAAAATATGAGCCACCACCAGCGATGTGGCCACCATCGGATAATGTCGTCATAGTGGGAATCCCCCAAACTCAGTTAAAACCTAACTAGGTCAACGATAGCGTCACCATGCGATATTTTGAAGAGACGATGCTATTAAGGATCCAATGTGTTTGGATGTAAATATACATTGAATAAACAAAAACAATTGTATACAGTTTCTATATATACATATTATTATCCCAACAATACAGGTAACAATTGACATAATATTGTTTATTTGGGCCTCAAGATAAACTTTTTGCAATTACGATTCGTAAAATGATCCCTTAATGTCTTTACCTTTATAATCTTTAGTTCTGTAGAGAGGTAGACTACCCCGTAATACTTTCCGGGATAAAGTGAAAATCTCTCCTGACCATCTGTCATCATATTCTCGGGAAAATACATTCCTAAGAAGAGTCGATCTGACTTTATCTCCCATCTTTAAATGTAAAGGTTCTCTTGCATTCTTCTTTACTTCTGTCACATTCTTCTTTGGCCAACATATTCGCCACCAGGTGATCCTTTTGTTGTCTTTGGTTACTTTAGATGGAGGCAATTCAATAGTTCTGTGGTACGTGTCATATAAGCAAAACTTTGTAGTTGTTTCAGATATGATTAAGATTGTTTGCAGATGAAACATCGATACAATGTGGTATTCACAGCTTTCAAAACGCGTTCTTACACACCTGCTTTGATTTCATTGTTGGTTGGATGATGCTGAATCTGAATCTTCAAAAGAGACAGGACTTCTTCAGCTCCAAACGAATTCTAGTGGTTTGTCTCCTTTCTTTGAAGATGTCTTGCAATGCTTTTACAGCACTATGTCATGGCTTGATCTTCAAAGACCTCAACCAGAGATATTAAGAAAACACATTAATTACCCCATGAACATTGGGGACGCCATCATTGTATTAAGGAATTTCAACATGTCGGTTAAGTCTACAGAGCACTGGTCATCTGTACCAGTGACGACAATTCTATTTCTTGCAAACGTTCTTTTCATGGGACGCTGAAGACTGTAAGCTTTTTGTCTTTGCATATCTTATATAGATTCCAATTTTTCTTACATATATTTACAGTTTATCAGACCCTGAAAAACTGTCCGGATTAGAAACATTTATAATAGATGTCAATCAGGCACTCCTCCCAAGCGGACATAATGTTCACACACCTGCAGCCAACTCAGTTATGACTACAAGTATGTGCAGTGTGTTCCTCTTATCATCAGTCACAACCGTTCTCTCCTTCCACTTTGTCCATATCCGTATGTAATAGTATCTTTGGCAACAGAGATTTCCACAGTTGTCCAATCTTTCTATGCACCTGGTTGTGACAACAGTCTGTAGGTAATTCTTTTCTCATTTGGGTGATATTTGGAGAACAGTGGGCAATTGTGAAGGTATACAAATGTAGACACATGTCTTACAAGTCTGTCCAAATTGATTTTTTCCCAGAGTTTCTTCATTTTTTCTTCAGACCATTCTGGAAATATCTCATCAGTTTCATACTGCTTTTCTTCAGCAGCCATTTCATCTCTATTGTGCTCTCCTTCAAACTCGAAATGTATCGAAAAGGCAATTTCTCATCATGATCAGAACGTTCTTCTGCAGTCTTTTAAACGATAGTATGTCTTCACCTTCATCGTCGTGTCTTCTTTTTAACCCCTGGCGTTCAGGACACCAAATTTTATGTGTCTCTGCAAATCGTGAATAGCTTCAAATATGAGCCTACAATTATCACAGGCAGACATGTCTACGATCTCTTCATCAAACGGCTGCCCACTCTGAAGTTACAATGATCACAGTTTCGACAGTTTGGTCCTTTTTTTAGACTTGTCCCTAGGTTGTACTAATGTTAGAGCAACAGAGCATTACTGCTCAAAGTTCATCGTAAGTGGTTTCTAATTAATAAGCAGATGTCCATAAGGTAGTGCTAAATATCTGTGTCTGTCACAGAGTCTTCGAATTCGCGAATATCGAAGGTGGCACGTCCACGCTTCCTCCCAACAAAGCAATTAACGTGCAATCGGCACAGCTCATAAATGCCGCAGCCAGGTCAGCGCAAACCAACAGGTAAGTCTTGGTTTCAGTTCTCCCGCCATTTGCCCAACATAGGGAGAATCCTCGAAGCTCAAAACGAGGATGCCAGTGGTCAGCCAATCAAACACAATATACAGGGATTCCCGATTCTTTCGTTCAGATGGAATAGTCGCACATGTCGTTAACAGGTGAGAAAATATTTTGATGTGGTGAGTTCGTCGATCAAATAAATTTGGTTGTTGCACAATTGTTAGTACACTCACAAATGTCGAAAGTGTGGCAGAAATTCTCACGGCTAAAGGACCTGCTTTCGAGGGAATGTGGTCCAAAAGACCCCATACATGCCCAACCAATCTTTCCCTGATAGCAAACAAGTCGCCAAGAAATGTATATTTAATAGCCCCTTTCTTCGTGGATCTGAGGGAAATGGCACCCAGGTGTCACCAATATGTTAAGGTCAATAACAGAGACGCAAATTACTTATGGACAGCTTTAAGTTTTTTCTTTCGAGCGTATGAAGGTGCGTTCTATTTTGATAAATGCTTACCATTGGACTGCTCCATATCTTGCGCCATATTTAAAACATTTAGTACCTTCTTGCAATGGTGCATGCATGCCAGATCATGCATTACCTGGATGACATTCTAACGGGGGCACAGCGGGCACTGCCACTGCTTAGACAACATCAACGGATGCGTACATGCACTGGAACAGTTTGAGGTCCCTATTGCACACGACAAGACTGTCGGCCCCTCTACACAACTGACATTCTTAGGGCTGGAAATTGACACCATTGCAATGCAGATCAGAATCCCAGAGTCTAAGATCAAGGAGGTGACAGTAGAAATGCAAGACATCCTGTCGAAAGGTATCATAAAGGTCAGAAAAAGGGTCCTTCAGTCCCTAATAGGCAAGCTTAACTTTATGTGCAGGGCCATACCAATGGCAAGGGCATTCAGCCTTAGTTTGATCGACCAGCTTAAAAAAAAGGTAAGCAACCATTTCACCACATTAGGATTACCAACTGGGTCAAGGAAGACTTACAAATATGGTTAACATTTCTTACCGGTTATAATGGCATTTCAGTGTTTCAGGACCAACTATGGGTAGACAGTGATTTCCTCCAGCTGTTTCCAGACGCAGCGGGTGGGGCCTACATGCAGGGCAATTGGTTTTAGCGGCAGATGGCCAAACCAGTGGGCGACGGGTGGAACTGCACGCGACTTGACACTCCTAGAGCTGTTCCCCATCACCCTGTCCATCCAACTTTGGGGCAAGCAACTAGCAAACAAGAAGGTCCTCTTCTCGCACGACAACCAAGCCATCGTTGTAATTATCAACAAACAGCCTACCGAAGCCCCCAGAGTGATGAGCCTACCCCGACACATAATCATGCAATGGTTCCGATATAATATTCTATTTAAGGTAAAGTATGTCTAACACTATTGCCGATGCTCTCTCTGGAGGCTTCAGCTCAAACGCTTCCGAGAGGCAGCACCATACTTGGACCAGAACCCCCACCCCCACCCCCACCCCCACCCCCACCCCCAACCCCCCACGCCCCCACCTCTCCCGTGCAACATACGGCTGATCTCAGGCAAGAAGCTGGTATACTCATACACTTATCTCTGTCTACAAACACATGGTCCACTTACCAAACAGGCATCTATGCCTTACACCAGTTCCGGACCACACATCAGCTACAGGAGGTGTGCCCAGTCCCGCTGGATCAGGTCGTAAACTCTATTGCTTATCTGTCAGTCACTCACCACTCCCCTAACACATTTTAGACTTACATTGCGTCGTTGTCTTTACAGCACTACTTGCGCTCGCTCACCGATTGTACAAACCATTTCCTGGTGGGCATGCTATTAACAGGCTTACACAAATCGGCTGGCCGACCAGACAGCAGAAAACCCATCACGGCAGATGAGTAACCAACAATCTGCCAGACGTATGTTCGTCGGCATATAAAGCCAGACTGTTCAAGGCAGTCTACTGTACAGCCTCCTTCGGTTTCGTTAGGGTAAGCGAGCTGGTCCAAACTTTACCCTCTAAACCAGCTTGCCCCATCCATAATTTAAGTTTCTCGGGCAACCCCCAATAGCTATCAATACATCTCCCACCATCACAGAGTGATCAGTACTGTACAAGGGCAACTGCAACAATGTAATCTATACCAGGTAATCCGATATGTCCCGTAGTCGCTCGCCACTGAGCCCGCAACATGCATTCGTCCTTATTAGTAGGTGCCAATTCCAGGCACACAGCATTGGGGCAGCCATTCAGCAGCAATGAACGGGGTGCCTGAAAACCTCATACAGCAATATGTTACAATGCTTACATATGCTTACGCTTACCAACATAGGATTACCAACAAATGCTTCAACTAATTTAAATATTCTATGCATGGTACTTACTACACTTCTTATCGTTTACAGTTTGGATGGTGGGCTCTAGCTACATGGCCAGAGCATGGCGGTACTTGCTTCTGAAGGGCACCAGTCCGGACCAACCGCGTATGGCTGGTGCGAGGGGAAATCAGGTGGGAGGAGCTGGACACCATCCTTGCACAGGTCAAGGCGACACAGCACAGCCCGAGAGACCTCATCATTCACCTGGGCACCAATGACCTGTGCTCAGTCAAGGGCAGCCAACTCTACCTTGACATGTCGGCTTCAATCCTTCGGATACGACATCCGGACACCAGAAGTCAATGCATCAATGCTGCCCTGCCGATATTGGCACGATGCCAGGGATCCAATAAGGATCTAGAGAAAGTGAAAGTATATTAACCACAGGCTAGCCAAACATGTCAAAGAGCTCTGTGGAACAATAATGCCACATCCCCAGATCATGACATCAGGTATGCCTTGGAGGGCGTCCATCTCAGTGACAAAGTACTGTGTGTGTTTATGGACAATTTATTGCGTGCCCTGACATTTGTTTTGCACAAATAGAAAGATGTTATCTCCAAAGGTCAGTGTTTCTTTTCACTTCAAAGGCAAGCTGGGCAACAATGATATCTCTGCGTATCACGTGGCCGCTGGTGTGGGGTAGCAATTTGGTGCTGTGTGGCGGGGTTCCTGTGGGCCACCTGCTAGTAACAAATTTACTTGCTTCCAAATTAATACTCGCGCTTAAGGCTATCTGCTTTTCAGCGGGACCCGTTCCGGGGTTACCTGCTTCTCAGTGGGAACCTTGTCTTTCCCGACTTTTCAGCCGTGGAATTGTACAAAAGCTTACGTTGGGCAATCAATTGCCACGTATATTGGCCCGGCGGCGGTAGTCGTCATGTCGTCATGGCATCCATTGTTTGGTGGCCCTTGTCTCTCCTTTGGCATATCGTGCGATAATATTACTATAACAGAGTCCCATGCGCATATTTCTATAGTCTGTTTGAGACTGTCCCAATTGGACATTCGTTCGACTTTTTCTCCAGTAAAATAGTCGATTAACCACAGGTAGGTTGATCAGTAGTGACTCTATATTTCAATAACATCAGTCTGCGAAACATCCCATCTTGTTTTAACAGGCAAAATGTATAGTAATTTAATAGAAAGGTAACACCTGTGAGTTTGTAAAAGAGCTTAGGCAATTCATATATCCATGAAATGAAAGGTATCCAGTACACATTTCAAGATGGATTTCTAGAAAAAAACAATGTTAACAACATTCCCCCTTTGTACAAAATGGTATCCTTGATTTGTCAGCACCATATCTGTTCTCATGTTTTTTCACCAAAGTTGTTAACGTCTTCGACCTGAGTCACTTCCGGATTCTCAACAACAGGAAGCCAAGGCAATTATTATTAAAGACGATTATTATGACATCAATATACAGAGTTAAAGATGCAGCAAATGGCAATAATGTGTCAAAGATGATATCCATAGTTGAATCTATTTAGGGAGATCATCACACAGAGGCGAAACGACAATATGAATAGCGTATCTGTATCATATTTGTTTACGATCATGAAAAGCTTCATTCAATAACCCTTATACCCTTGACGAGCCATAATGGCCCGACAACGTCTTGTGAAGCAATGAATAAAGCTTTCGGGATATAGTACTCCTCAGTCAAAGCTTCATCAAGCTCAACCAACGCGGTCTGGTGCCTCAAAACGGATTGGTAAGTAGGCTAGCTAGTCCTAATGCTGAATACCTTCTCGATATAATCATGATCAGTCACTATGGCATTATTCTTGCTCTGACGTGAGGTGTTCTCATACAATGTTATTAAAGATCATATCCTTGTGCGCTAACATGCACCAACTGAAAAGCATAGGCCGTTTCGCATTCAGTCCCATGCTGGCGTGAATCCTAGCAAAACTAAACGTCCAACATGTACACGATGATGTGTGGTCAAAGAACGACATACGGATAATCTTTGGGCGGATATATGGGATGCATAGAACATCTTTCTGTATAAATTTTAACTCTGGTAACAGTTAGGGATTCTTTTGGCAGTGATTGTCATTGTCATTGTCATGTTTTCCGAGAACGTATTGCCTCTCACACTGTTGAGAACATTTTTTTGTCAGTCCACTTCACATTTTCATTACATTTACACTAAACCAATGACCCGGTTGGCCTCTGTAATTGCCTCTTACCAGACATTGTGAATTTTTTTTAAAATACGACCCTTCGGGGAATACTGCAAAACTAGACGGTTTTCCATTCTCATTTTTATTTCATGCTCTGGCATCATACAAAGCTGCACAAGGGTGGCGAAAGGCAAAATGTTTGGAGATTCTTTTCATCATCATAAGTTTACCGTTTTTCGCAGTGTCGTTTCATTTAACCATAAACATCTTGTGTGTGAAGCTTATTAACTATTGTTCGAAGTGTCTTCAAACCCAACTCACTCACTCACTCACTCACTCACTCACTCACATCATTGATGTAAAATGATATCACACTATATAACTTTACATGGATGGCAACACGTTTTCATGTCATTTGGTTCTCGTCTACATTGCTTAATAGCACTAGGAAAATATAGGATTATCGATGTTCAGGTGTTAATTAAATGTACATCTGTGACACAACCTGGCCTGTCGTACAAGCGTATCATTCCGAGTGTGTCTGGAGTTATTAAGGTTACTGAATACTGCAGATTCCTATATCATAGGCTGTTACCTTATAATACTTCTCGGGACTTGCATGCTTGTTATTAGGACAAAAAAGTATTTATCAACATGCCTACCGGGTACCCTGTATACGACGTAAGCTGTCAACAATTAACACAGGAATTAGTCCAAATATTTTAAAAGCTGTATCTCAGGGTTTTATGACTAAACATTATGTCAAATTAACACACAATTTTACTGATCCCTCAAAGGATTCGACCTTGAACGGCTGGGGCATATCGGATTTCATATTTTTACATCTCAAGTGTGGTCAGGCTAAATGCCGATGTAACAATATCAAACTTCAGATCCCAACCTAACGATTTCGATTCCATATTAGTAAAAATTTCATTTTCACTACTAATTTTCCTCTTGTTTCAAGACATTTGCTTTGTTGGGCGCAAATACACCTTTAATGGTCCAAGTCGCCCTGAAGCCCATATACCATACCACCACTACCAAGATCAATATTATACGAGCGCCTCAATCACTTTGCCACATACTATCATCAGAAATAAATTTACATTCTGTAACACTGTCAACCCTTGTGAAACCGCATTAAAAGATACGTGAGGTGAGATAGCGTGTGTGTGTGTGTGTGTGTGTGTGTGTGTGTGTGTGTGTGTGTGTGTGTGTGTGTGTGTGTGTGTGTGTGTGTTTGTGTGTGTTTGTGAGTGTGTATGTGTGTGTGGCTGCTTGTGCTAGCCCTCTTGAACATGAGTACTTACACCGAGCCGACCAGTCCTTGTTTTATCCCCTTAATGCCGACCGCCAGCAAGGCAGGGTAACAACAAATACCATCTTTTAACGTATTTTGCTATGGCATGGCCTGGGATCGGGCAGACGCTGTACCACTGGACCACGGAGGCGGTCTCATTTAAAGATAGTCCCCTCTTGGCTTACTTTAATGGCAAAAAGTAATTACGAAATATTTGATCCCGGAACGTTGTTACTTATCAATCTCTGACAAACAGTACTACCGTATTACAGAAACTGGGCTATGTAATTACGGGGTTGGTACGGTCGTGTCAAGTGTTGTTTGTTGGATTACTAAGTTTACTAACCCATATTTTTTGTACAACGAAGCAGTGATAATGCACATTGCTGTTTCATTCCTGTAGAAATAAAGATCTGGTCGCATATATATTGTTGCCTCGTTATGGGGTACAGGGGGTGGGCTCTGGAAAATACAGGTAAATTCTGTGATGGGGAACATTTCCTTGATAAACTGAACTTTTAAGAGGGCATTAAATCGATCTTCTTCACAACAACAGTAGTTCATTTACAGTAGTTCACCATACTCGGGGCCACGGGTGACCCAGTCGTCTGAGGCGCCGCGATTCGCTGTGCAGAGTTGCGTCCCTTTGGCACGCTAGCAACCTATGATTGTGGGTTCGAATCCCGGTTCGCCCCGACTATGTTTCTAGGTTTGTCAGCACCATACCCGTGCTCGTGGGTTTCACCGAAGTGGTAAACGTCTCAGACCTGCATTACTTCGAGCTTTCCTCCCACATTAAGCTGACACGCCGTGATATAACTGAAATACTGTATAAAGCGACGTTAAACCAAACTCACTCACTCATCATACTCGCCCTCGATGAATCCAGATCTATTAGCACACTCAGCAACTCACTCGACGCTCATGGCTTTCGATTACCCCCCGAGTGTCACAGGTAATTATTATATGTCCATCCTCCTCAACCGTCACGTTGAAGTTGAACATTACTCAAAATACCGATGTGAACTCTCCGCCATATTGGATAGTGTTTACAAACTCACGTTCGCGTTTGCCGTGTGCATACATTTTAGCATCGCATGAAGACATGTCTTCAATACATATGGTCTTGATGGAATCAAGTGGAACAAATCAGGTTTGAAAACGAATTTTGTGCTGTGAAAACTGTACACCCACTTGTTTAAATTGTAGACAAAGCAAACTTCAGATTATACACTGTGTAGTATTTTCTCCTATTTGGAGAGATCCATTCGTCAATTCGTTGCATACACCGGCTCAACGTATTTAAGAATATACATGGCAAAGGTATCGTAGCAAGAATTAGGGAGTTAAAATAGATGCATTACAACGATTTGGAAAACTTATAAGAAATTGTCAAAGTCTCCGTTCTCCGTGACGCCCTGACTACGACGTCGTTTTGTTCTGCATTTCTGACGAGCTTTCTTGGTACGATGTAAAACTAAAAAACTGTATTATATAGCAATACGCAGATTGTGAGGTTGTTTCTGAATACGTACATGACCCCGAAACGAAACGAAAGTCTTTCCTTTGAAAATCAAGCGTTCTGCTGTCAGTGAACACACTATTCTGTAAAAGTGTCAAACGTGAAGTGAGCATTCCAATGTACAGCCAGAAATGCTAGAAAAATGCTTTTCTGGCTTCATTTAATAAATGCGAAATATAGAGCTATGAAAATAGCATGTAACAACATAAAGCAAATCTACCTAATTTAACTCATTATTATAACGAAGTCATGAACGCATATTTCTAAAGTCCTTTTCAGACTTCCATCATTAGACTTAGAATTAATCTGAATTGGCTGTTTTCGTTAGAATTTATCTCCTGTAAAATTGTGGACAGGACTCCTGGTGACTGAAATACTTCAAACAGGTAGGTAGATTGGTAGTTACTTAGATATTTCAATAGCAACAGTCTATGAAATTTCTATCCTTTTGTAACGGGCAAAAAAAACATTTTTCTAATATTTCTGACAGTACTTTTAGTCCATTATTGATAATTTCTTTGAGGTGAAGCTAAGGCGAATAGGTATACACACTGTCATGGCTAACAGCCTCCTGGATGACCAACATGTCGTAGGAACAACGTACCCGTGCTCTGGCGGATGTGTATTATAATCGTTTCAACTGTGTGACATGTTATACTGATCATATGTCCCATGTTGAATTATGTCTATCAGGAATCGAATGAGCAGTCGTTGAAAAGTTACATAAGCACACCTTGAACGACAACGCCATGCCAGATACCTCACCTCAAGCCAAGGCTACACATGAGCTGCAATTGACGGGTACATGAGCATGTAGTGCCCACAACTCGGTAATCGCTCCATGTTATGGTTTCCGGTTGTTGCAGTCATTCAGGTTTGGTGGAAACATGAGTTTCAACTTTGACGACGGAAAACCCCTGAACTCACAATACCCAGCGCCACAGAATTCGGCTTGGTTTACATAGGTTAGCTCGGCCTCATAATGCACTGGAGGAATGTTTTGTGCCACTTGATTTAACTGAACCTAGTACATATGAAAACATAAATACAAATCCTACTTTCAGCCAATCAAACCCTGTACGGAATACAATGTGACTTTTCTAACCCCGAACCCTAATGTTTTAAAGCACATGCCATTAGGCGGAACAAACCGTCAGTTAGCTCTGATCGAGGAATTATAATTTTCCCTGCCGCTTATTACATATTTGATTTTAATTAACGCATCTCCATTCCAACAAGAGGTAAGTCTTAAAGTCGGCATCTTAGAAAAGAAATAACATTATTATTTTGGTCTACTGCTGTGTTGCGTGTACAGTATAGTTTTGCCGTAAACTATAACGCAAGACACTCGGATGCAATCATTCAGGACAAAACTATACTTGATAATGCGCCACACATGATAATGATATATACTTACATTGTATGTTTCACTAGTCTCCATACACTCGGTGCATGCTCAAAGCTGTTACATCATTAACCCGGCCAATAGATCAGTGTGCACTCAATTTTCATTCTCATCTTCCTGGGAAGTGTACATATAGCATGGTACTGCTATGTCCAAGTAAAAGAATAGATTAAATGAAAAATAGACATGTAGTCGCTGTGACAATGAGCGTAGTTAGGGGATCCAAAGATGACAGACATTTGCCAAGAACTAATGAAGAGTGATGATCCGACACACACAATTTCAGCATAAAAAAGGTCATCGAAAAACGTAGATCATTGACACGAAGCACCGTTGGAATAATGTTGATACAACATCACTTGATACGTTTTCCAATACAGTACAATGGAACAATTTGAATCTTTGAAAGTCAAACTATTGTCCATCGACACCAAGACAGCAAATAAACTCTCCACCAGTCAAGACATCAAAATAGCAACTAAATTCTTCAGCAGTCAGGATACCCAGATACCAACTATACTCTGAAGCAGCAGGGTGCACGGGTGGTCCAGTCCTCTAAGGCGGCGCAATTCGCTGTGAAGGGTTGCGCCCCTTGGGAACGCCAGAAAACTAAGATGGTTGGTTCGATTCCCGGTTTGTCAGCTCCATACCCATTCTAGTGGGTTTCACTAAAGTGGAAGTGAAAGTGGAAGTGTGACCTGCATCACTTCGGGGTGTCCACCCACATTAAGCAGTCATACTGTGATATAACTGAAATACTGTTCAAACCAACTAACTTACTTACTCAAGCAAGGACACCCAAACTACATTCTCCAGCTGTCAGGACACCAAGACACCAACTACATCGTCCAGCAGTCAGGACATCAAGACACCAACTACATTCTCCAGCAGTCAGGACACCAAGACACCAACTACATTCTCCAGCAGTCAGGACACCCAGACACCAACTACATTCTCCAGCAGTCAGGACACCAAGACACCAACTACATTCTCCAGCAGTCAGGACACCAAGACACAAACTACATTCTCCAGCAGTCAGGACACCCAGACACCAACTACATTCTCCAGCAGTCAGGACACCCTGACACCAACTACATTCTCCAGCAGTCAGGACACCAAGACACCAACTACATTCTCCAGCAGTCAGGACACCAAGACACCAACTACATTCTCCAGCAGTCAGGACACCAAGACACCAACTACATTCTCCAGCAGTCAGGACACCCAGACACCAACTACATTCTCCAGCAGTCAGGACACCCTGACACCAACTACATTCTCCAGCAGTCAGGACACCCAGACGCAAACTACATTCTCCAGCAGTCAGGACACCAAGACACCAACTACATCGTCCAGCAGTCAGGACACCCAGACACAAATTACGCTCTCAAGCAGTCAGGACACCCAGACACAAACTACATCGTCCAGCAGTCAGGACACCAAGACACCAACTACATTCATCAGCAGTCAGGACACCAAGACACCAACTACATTCTCTAGCTGTCAGGACACCAAGACACCAACTACATCGTCCAGCAGTCAGGACACCCAGACACCAACTACATCGTCCAGCAGTCAGGACACCCAGACACCAACTACATCGTCCAGCTGTCAGGACACCAAGACACCAACTACATCGTCCAGCAGTCAGGACACCCAGACACCAACTACATCGTCCAGCAGTCAGGACACCAAGACACCAACTACATCGTCCAGCAGTCAGGACACCCAGACACCAACTACATCGTCCAGCAGTCAGGACACCAAGACACCAACTACATCGTCCAGCAGTCAGGACACCAAGACACCAACTACATTCTCCAGCTGTCAGGACACCCAGACACCAACTACATCGTCCAGCAGTCAGGACACCCAGACACCAACTACATTCTCCAGCAGTCAGGACACCAAGACACCAACTACATTCTCCAGCAGTCAGGACACCCAGACACAAACTACATTCTCCAGCAGTCAGGACACCCAGACACCAACTACATCGTCCAGCAGTCAGGACACCCAGACACCAACTACATCGTCCAGCAGTCAGGACACCCAGACACCAACTACATCGTCCAGCTGTCAGGACACCAAGACACCAACTACATCGTCCAGCAGTCAGGACACTAAGACACCAACTACATCGTCCAGCAGTCAGGACATCAAGACACCAACTACATCGTCCAGCAGTCAGGACACCCAGACACCAACTACATCGTCCAGCAGTCAGGACACCAAGACACCAACTACATCGTCCAGCAGTCAGGACACCAAGACACCAACTACATTCTCCAGCTGTCAGGACACCCAGACACCAACTACATCGTCCAGCAGTCAGGACACCCAGACACCAACTACATTCTCCAGCAGTCAGGACACCAAGACACCAACTACATTCTCCAGCAGTCAGGACACCCAGACAAGAACTACATTCTCCAGCAGTCAGGACACCCAGACACCAACTACATCGTCCAGCAGTCAGGACACCCAGACACCAACTACATTCTCCAGCAGTCAGGACACCAAGACACAAACTACATTCTCCAGCAGTCAGGACACCAAGACACAAACTACATTCTCCAGCAGTCAGGACACCCAGACACCAACTACATTCTCCAGCAGTCAGGACACCCAGACACAAACTACATTCTCCAGCAGTCAGGACACCCAGACACAAACTACATTCTCCAGCAGTCAGGACACCCAGACACAAATTACGCTCTCAAGCAGTCAGGACACCAAGACACCAACTACATTCTCCAGCAGTCAGGACACCCAGACACAAACTACATTCTCCAGCAGTCAGGACACCCAGACACAAACTACATTCTCCAGCAGTCAGGACACCAAGACACCAACTACATTCTCCAGCAGTCAGGACACCCAGACACAAATTACGCTCTCAAGCAGTCAGGACACCAAGACACAAATTACGCTCTCAAGCAGTCAGGACACCCAGACACTAACTACATTCTCCAGCAGTCAGGACACCAAGACACAAACTACATCGTCCAGCAGTCAGGACACCAAGACACCAACTACATTTTCCAGCAGTCAGGACACCCTGACACAAATTACGCTCTCAAGCAGTCAGGACACCAAGACACCAACTACATTCATCAGCAGTCAGGACACCCAGACACCAACTACATTCTCCAGCAGTCAGGACACCCAGACACCAACTACATTCTCCAGCAGTCAGGACACCAAGACACCAACTACATTCTCCAGCAGTCAGGACACCCTGACACAAACTATGCTCTCAAGCAGTCAGGACACCCAGACACAAACTACGCTCTCAAGCAGCAAGGACACTAAGACACCATCTAAACTCTCCAGACGTTGGAAGCCATACACCAGGTACGGTCTCACGCGGCAATGACACCAAGAAGCCAACTATACTTTCCAGCAGCCAGGACGCCCCGACACCAACTACGGTCTCTGGTATTCAGGACACCCCGAAAGTAACTACACTCTCCAGGAGTCGTGGCACCCAGACACCAACTACGCGCTCAGCAGCAAGGACACCAAGGCACAACTACACTCTCAATCCGTCATGAAACCCAGATACCAACTACATTATCAAGCAGTCACGACATTCAGACACAAACTACACTCTCAAGTCGCAAGAACACCCAGGCATCAACTACGCCTTTGCGCGACCAGGACACTCAGACACCAACTACGGCTTCACGAAGCAAGGACGCCAAGATACTAACTATACTCTCAAGCCGTCATGACACCAAGACACTACCTACACACTCCAGCAGTTAGGACAACCGTACACCAACTACACTCTGAAGCCTCAAGGACACCAACTAAAGTTGCCAGTTATCCGGACACTAAGTATATTCTCAAGCAGAGAGGACACCAAGACACTTACTAAATTCTTCAGCAGTCAGGGCATCTAGACACCCCACCAGCTAAGCTCTACAGCACTCAAGAAACTCAAGCAACAAATATGCTAAAAAGTATGTCAAATGCAGTTATAACAATGACACTGTTTGGAAGAACTTGGCAGGAGATTTAGCCATGCATTGAAAATAAGTAAGATTTTCTCATTGTTGTCATTCCAGGGCTTCTACATTATCCATAAGACTGCGGATTGATCTAGCTGCCATAAGACAGTTGCTTAACAATGGAGAAGTGCTGAAAATGTGTTGGTGTCGTTCTCAGTGATATGGCGAATTAACAAATGGTAGCAGAGCGTGTCCATATAGCGAAGGTTGTTGTTAGCGTCTGTGACGGTGAAAAGCGTATTTGGCTGTGAAGTGTGAAGTTTTAGGATACTTTATTGACTTTCAAGTTTGAAAACGGTCCACGTGCGAAAACATGGCGACCATGAGATTGAATCCCCCGGATTTGGTTAAAGCTGGAAATTATGAACGATACAAACAAGAACTGCTGGCTTGGAGACAGGTAACTGTTGCAAAAACGACTGAACAAGGTGTAGCTGTAGCGTTGTCGCTTCCTTATGACCATCCCTTATGTATACGTGAAAATGTGTTTGACCACATGAACGTTGCCGATTTATCAAAAGAAAATGGTCTCGACATTTTGATCAAGTTTCTTGATGAACATCTTCTGAAAGATGATTTGACTGATAGTTTGGAAAAGTTTGAAGAGTTTGAAGATTTTCGTAGAGAGAAAGGACAGTCCATTAATGATTATATTACAAAGTTTGATTTGATGTACAACAAGATTAAGAAGAAAAATATGACATTGCCTCCCGAGATTTTGGCTTTTAAGCTGTTGAGACGTGCAAATATCTCAAGAGATGAGAAGATGTTGGTGTTGACTGGGATGGACTATTCAAACAAAGGACAATTGTATGAACAATCCCGAACATCTTTGAAGAAATTTTTGGGAAGTGATGTGACAGGTGGAACAAGTTTTAAAAAGTCAAGTGAGATACCTTCCATTAAAGTTGAACCTGTTGCATTGGCTGCTGATGAGAGTTATGGTGCTTTTAATCAGAACTATCAAAGATCCGCAACATTTCGTGGAAGACGTCAAAGTAGATTTCCAAACACCAGTTACTCCAATAGAGGAAGATTTCAAGGCAGAGGGGGATCATCTTCATATCGAGGGGGTAAAAACATGAACCCTCCTGGTCCAGATGGTAAACCTTTGACTTGTTTGTGTTGTGGTTCCTATAGACACTTGATTACAAGATGTCCAGACAGCTGGGAGAATTTATCAAAAAGGGTATACTACACAGAGCATGATGAACATGGACATACTAGTGAATCTGACGAAATGTATGCTATTTTGTTCACTGGTGATCAAAAAGAGGAAATAGTGTTGCTGGGACGTGAGGCTAGAAATTGTGCTGTGTTGGATTGCGGCTGTTCCAAGACAGTGTGCGGAAAATTGTGGTTGCAGTGTTATATTGACAGTTTATCCAAACAAGAAAAAGAGAAAGTGGTCAAGACTAGCAGTGATACTGTTTTTCGGTTTGGTGGTGGAGATAAGTACAAATCTCTTGGTTCATATGAACTGCCAGCAGTTGTAGCGGGAAAGAAAGTTACTATCATCTCAGATGTTGTCGATTCAGATATACCTCTTCTATTATCACTGTCGGCAATGAAGAGTGCTAAAGTTCATCTTGACTTGGAAAATGACTGTGCGTATGTTTTTGGTAGTTGTGTTTGTCTAAACATGACATCTTCAGGACATTACTGTTTGCCAATCATTGAGAGTTTGTCAGCAGATTGTGAAAGTGTCAATATGGTTTCACTGTATGATGCTTCAACGTCAGATAGAAAGAAGATCTTACAGAAACTTCATCGTCAATTTGCTCATCCATCAGAGAAGCGTCTGATTGCCTTGTTGAGTGATGCAAATATATGGAAAGACGAGTATGGAGATATTTTACATCAAATCTGTGAAAATTGTGACATTTGCAAAGTTCATTCAAAAACCCCTTCCAGACCGGTAGTTGCCTTACCCATGGCTACACATTTCAATGAGAAGGTAGCAATGGATCTTAAGAACTTTAGGGACTGTTGGATTTTGCATATGGTGGACATGTGGTCGCGTTTCACCATTTCAGTGTTCATAAAAAGAAAGACTCCTTCGGCAGTGATAGGAAAGATTATGACATGCTGGATAGGAGCGGGATTTGGTGTCATGCAATCAATTCTGACTGATAACGGTGGTGAATTCTCAGCTGAAGAAATGCGAGAGGTAGCAAGCATCTTGGATGTACAAGTGATAACAACAGCTGCAGAAAGTCCTTTTCAAAATGGTTTGTGTGAGCGCATACATTCAGTGACTGATCATATGCTGGTTAAGCTTGAAGAACAGTGTCCTGATACACCACTTTCAGTTCTACTTTGTTGGGCAAATATGGCGCGTAATGCACTCCAAATGTGGCATGGCTTCAGTTCATACCAGCTTGTGTTTGGACAAAATCCTAAGCTTCCAAAATATTATGACAGATCGTCTCCCAGCTTTGGAAGGAGTTACTTCTTCAGAGACATTTGCTCAACACTTAAATGCTTTGAATGAGTCAAGAAAGGCTTTCATAGAGTCAGAATCTTGTGAAAGAATTCGTCGTGCTTTGAGAAACAAAGTAAGGGCATCAGAAGAAAGATATGAAAATGGTGATCATGTCTACTACAAGAGAGAAGGACAGCAGCGATGGCTGGGACCTGGTAAAGTTGTGTTCCAGGATGGAAAGGTTATCTTTGTTCGTCATGGTGGAGTTTTCGTCAGAGTGTCTCCAAATAGACTGGAGAAAGTAGGTCATGAATTTGAACATGTTGAAAGAAGTCACAAAGAAGATGATCGTTTTGAAACCATACAAGGTGATGCAAGTGAGGAGGAGATGGGGAATGAGATTTTTGATCTCAACAATAGAGACACAGAAGAGAGCAGCATGCAAGAAATCACTGACGGAAGACAAGTTTCAAAAGACATATCATTGAAACAAAACGACAGAATATCACTCAAGACACCAGAAGGAAATTGGGTATTAGCTGAGGTAATATCAAGAGCAGGAAAGAAAGGTGGCAAATACACAAATTGGTTCAATGTGAGACAAGATTCAGGTGAAGCGGTTAGTGTAAACCTGGACGTTGCAGAGTGGAAAATTGACACTGTAGATGAAACTGTAGCAGATGTCAATGTCGTGATGGTTCCAAAGTCAAAACACAAGGAACAATCATGTGTAAGTGCAAAGCTTGAAGAATTGAAGAAGTTAGAATCTTTTGACACTTACGAAATAGTTCTAGATCAAGGACAGCATAGAATTTCAACAAGATGGGTGATTACAGAGAAGGGACAAGAAGTGAAGGCTAGATTAGTTGCAAGAGGATTTGAGGAGGATTTTTCTATGCGGAAGGATTCTCCAACGGTCAGCAAGAGTGTCCTCAGACTATTTCTTGCTATTGCAGCTTGTAAGCAATGGAATGTCAAAACCACAGATATCAGATCAGCTTTTCTGCAGGCAAAAGAATTGGAGAGAGATGTGTTCTTGGATCCACCAGAAGAAGCAAATGTCCAGCAAGGATATATCTGGAAATTGAAGCATTGTTTGTATGGACTAAATGATGCTGCTCGTCAGTTTTATCGCAGTGTAGTTGAAGAACTTGTCAAATTAAAGTGTGAAGAATCACCGCTAGATCCAGCTTTCTTCTATTACAAGAATGATTCTGTGTTGCGTGGTATGCTGGTGAGTCATGTGGACGATTTTTTGCATTGTGGTGAACCAGACTTTGAGTCAACTGTGATGAAGCAATTGCATCACAGATTTCTTGCAGGAAGGCTGGAGGAAAAGAGTTTCCAGTATATCGGGTTTGACACTATGCAAGATGAGAGTGGTGTGTTCATGGACCAGTCTGCATTTATTGAAGACATACACGTTGAGGTGATATCATCAGATAGAAGTGCCCAAACGAAAGCACAAAATTTAGGGGGATAGTTGGAAAATTGACCTGGGCAGTTCAAGGTTCGAGGCCTGATTTAGCCTTTGAGATGCTGGATCTTAGTACGAAATTCAAAGCAGGCACTGTGTGTGATCTTATAAGAGCTACAAAAGCCTTGAAAAAATTGAAGTCTGTTTCAACAAAAGTGTATTTTCCTAGGCTGGATGATCAATTGAAATGGAGGATTATTGTGTTTTCAGATGCTGCTCATGCAAATCTGAGTGATGGCATTGGCAGCGTGGGTGCGCATGTGATATTTCTTGCTGATGATAGCAATTGTTGTGTTTTGTCATGGCATTCTGGCGAGATTAAGAGAGTGGTCCGTTCCACCTTGGCTGCAGAGGCTCTTAGTCTTCAGGAGGGGTTGGAAGAAGGAGTGTATCTCAGGGGGGTTTTGGCTGATGTGATCGGCGTTAAAGTGCACATGGAGGCATATGTGGACAACCGCAGC